ACTTCATGAAGGCTCCTTCAACAGCCCCAACCACCTAGAAGGGCAAGGGCAGCAGCAACGTGGGAACATCACCAGCTGCAAGTTCTCCTCCAACCCATATACCATCGGCAATTACAAATATATGACTCTTCCTTCCCTGTCACTGGGTCAGAAAGCCGGAAATCCTCCTCTAAATGCAGGTGTACTACAATGGTTCAAGAAGGAAGCTCCAGGGCAATTAGGCTTTGCTCATAAATGCTGATCAAGCCAATGACACAAATATCTTATCAGAAACTCGCTAAATCCTTACCCCTTGTGTACTCAAACATATACTGTAATCCTGAACTGAGAATCCCAAGTTCCTTTTTGCTTCATATTTCTGAAACCTTGCCCCATTTAAAAAGTAGTCTGTGCCTCTATTCTTCCTACTAAAGCACATAACCTCACACTTTCCAATATTGTATTCTACCAGCCACTTCTTTGCCCGCTGTCCTAACCTGTCCAAGTCCTTCTGCAGCCACCTGCTTCCTCAACACTACCTGCCCCTGCACCTATCTTTGTGTCATCTGCAAACTTAGCAACAATGTCCTCAGTTGCTTCGCTCAGATCGTTAATGTGTAACATGTAGAGTTGTGGTCCCAACACTGACCCCTGAGGAACTCCACTAGTCACCGGCTGCCATCCTCAAAAAGACCCCTTTATCCCGAGTCTCTGCTTTCCGCCAGTCAGTCAATTCTCTATCCATGCCAATGCTTTGCCCCTAACACCATGGGCTCTTGTCTTAGTTAGCACCTCCTCTGCAGCACCTTGTCGAAGGCATTCTGGAAATCCAAATAAATCACACACCCCGGCTCTCCTTTGTCTAACGTGTTTGTTATCTGCAATAGGGTTAGGGTTAGGGTCAGAGATGGGGGAGGGGAAGGGGTCCCTGAAATAAATAGAGAGAGGGGGAGGCAGTGATAGCAGGTAGGTAGTGGTGGGGATTGGTCAGTGAGGTGGGAGGAGCGGATAGGTGGGAAAGGAGATGGACAGGTCAGTAAGGCGGGGATGACAGGGCGCGCTGGTCTTGGGATGAGGTCGGGGGTGGGGAGATTTTGAAGCTTTACTCGCTTCATCCCCGCCTCCTTGACCTGTCCATCTTCTCTGCCACCTATCTGCGCCTCCCACCTCACTGACCAGTCCCCACCACTGCCTACCTGCTATCACTGCTCCCCTCTCTCTATTTATTTCAGAACCCACTTCCCCTTCTCCATTTCTGCAGAAGGGTCCCGAATCGAAACGTCAGCTTTCCTGCTCCTCTGATGCTGTGCTGTGTTCCTCCAGCTCCGCACTGTGTTACCTTAAACTAAACCAGATACACGGGGCAGACATGCCTGAGTAAGACAAAAGACCAGGTGTATATTCAGGGATAAAACAGGACATCCAGGCCCCAAGAGCTGACACATCAAAGGGGTCACTGTTAAGTAAGCCATCGAGAGCCATTAGCAGCATATGAAGGTGATGAAGCAAATTAATTCGATACCTCTGATTGGTAAAGTCCTTGGAATGTTCCGGTAGGTAACCAGAAGGGTATAAGAACCCAGCCTGGCAGCGCTCGGGGATTCCTCCCCGCTACTCTCCAGCTGATCGACAGGCACATCAGGACACAGCAGTGACTGGAGCAGGTTGCCCTACGACCAGAGAGAGAGAGAGAGAGAGAGATAGTCAACCCGCGACTAAAGGAACAGACTGAACTACTCATCAGACCAACAAAGTTACGAGTATTTGGGAAGTGTTTCAAGTTTCTAAAGAATTGGATGGTTAACAATAGAGTTCTTAAAAGTGTGAAATTTAATTGATAACCTTTAGAGACAAAAAAAGCCTCCAGATGCTGGAATCCAAGGTAGACAAACAGGAGGCTGGAAGAACACTGTAGGCCAGGCAGCGTCTGGACAAAAGGAGCAGACAACGTTTCAGGTAGTACCCTTCTTCAGGACTGGATGTGTGTGTATGTGTGTGTGTGTGTGTGTGTGTGCACGTGTGTGTGTGTGGGGGGGGGGGGGGGGGTGGGGCGTGGGGGGGGGCGCGGAGCTGCAGGGAGGAGGTGGAATAGTGGTGATACTTGGACACTGGTGATAGCTACGACCTGGTTGGTTGATCGGAGGGATGAATCCGGTTGGTGGCTGGAAGGGAGGGTCAAAAGGTGGAATGGAAGGGAGGAGGTGGGGCTGGAGGGAGAGCCAGGGTATGAGTGGGAAGGTTATTTGAACCTGGGAGAACTCAATGTTGAGTCCTCCGAGCTGTAGGATGCCCAGGTGGAAGGTGAGGTATTGTTCTTCAGCATTGTGAGTCGCTGTGACACTGGAGGAGATCAAGGATGGACATGTCGGAGGGGGAGTGGGGGGCGTGGTGGGGAATGTTGAAATGGGCTGTGACCAGGAGGTGAGACTGGCCATTATAGGCCAGGCAGAGATACTCAGCGAAACAGTCACCCAGTCTACATTTGGTCTCACTGACATAGAGAAGATTACATCAGTACAACCAGACGCAGGACACTATGTTGGAGGAGATGTAGGTGAAGCTCTGTCTCACTTGGATGGTCAGTTAGGGCCCTGAATGGAGGTGAGGGAGGTGGTGTGTGGGCAGGTGTTACACCTTTTACGGTTAGATAGGAAGGTACCGGGGGCAGGTTGGAGTGGCCGGTGGAGTGTGTGGCATGAACTAAGGAGTGGCGAAGGGAATGGTCCTTGCGGAAGGCAGAGAGGGGTGGGGAGTGGAAGATGTTCCAGGTGGTGGGATCTAATTGGAGCTGGCAGAAGTGTTTGAGGATGATACATTGGATGTGGAGGCTGGTGGAGTGGAAAATGAGGACAAGGGGGCCCCTATCTTTATTATGTTTGTACGCAGGTGTGGTTAAGAGCTGTGGAGCAAGGAATGGAGGAGGTGCGGTGGATTTTGTACAATACAACATTTAAAGGCATCTGGATGGGTATATCAATAGGAAGGCGATTAGGGAAGGCGACAGCCTGGTAGCATTATTGTTGGACTGTTATTCCAGAGACCCAGATAACATACTGGGGACCTGGGTTCAAATTCTGCTACAGCAGATGATCAAATTTGAATTCAATGAATATCTGGAAGAGTCTAATGATGACCATGAATTCATTGTCAATTGTTGGAAAAACCTACATGGTTCACTAATGTCTTTTAGGGAAGGAAGCTGCCATCTTACCTGATCTGACCTACATGTGACTCCCAACTCACAGCAATGTGGTTGACTTTTAACTTCCCTCTGGGAAGCAACATCCTCATCCCATGAATGAATAAAGGGAAAAAAAATAGAAAGTGTTCAGAGGGATATGAGTCAAATGCTGGCAAATGGGACTTGATTAATTTAGGATACCTGGTCAGCATGGACAAGTTGGACATGTTTCCATGCTGTACAATTCAATAACTCGATAGTAAGCATGTTTATTCAGAAACGTGGTCAATAGAACTTTTTTAGAAGGCATTTGATTGGAGATTCGGGTCCTGGGGTAACGTAAGGGTTTTGATTTGTGACAGAGACAGCGAATCTTTCAGCCCCAATCCTGACAATTTTCTCCATTTCTTTTCAATAATCACACAACACCAGGTTACAGTCCAACAGATTTATTTGAAAATACCAGCGTGTCCCTTCCTCAGTTGTAATGAGAGAAGAGATATCGAGACACTGAACTTATAAGTAAAAGATCAAAGGATTATACAATTGGTGTAAATGTATTTAATAACCGTAAAATGGCAGGCTGACTCCCTCCTGTTAAATCTTTAATCAGCTGGAAAGGAAATGTAGCTTTTGATTGTTTAAGATGCACATCCCAGAATTTCTTTCAAGTCCCTGCCCCAAGATAATTAAAGATTTTGTCAGTGTATCCAAAAGATGACATCTCAGATCTGACAATGCATTTTAGGTGTGAGGTCTTGTTTATAATCTGTCTATGTTTTAATGTGGAGTCAGACTGGTCCTATTTACAAAGTAGGAGCTTATAAAATGCGCCATTGACTGACCCTGTCTACAGACCGTGTGGTCTTTAAACAAAATAGAATTGATCTGCAAAAACAAATTCACCCCATAGATTTAGGTATGTGTGTTTGTGTGTCTGAGAGAGAGTCTGCAAGTGTAAGTGTGTGAAAGAGTGTGTGCATGCATATAATCATTTGATCTTTTACTTCTAAATTCCGTGTCATGATACCTCCTCTCTCATTGCGCCTGAGGAAGGGGTTATGCTTCAAATGCTAGTGTGTTCAAATAAACCTGTTGGACTATAACTTGGTGTGTGATTTTTTTTTTACCTTGTCCAACCCAGTCCAACACCAGCACCTCTAAACTATTTTCAGTAATTGACTCCAGCAGGGTATGTAGCTGTTGCCAGCTGGGCCCAACTTTGATCTCACGCCCCTTGCTTTCCCTGGAGAAGGTGGTGGAGAGCTGTATCATTCCTTGTAGTGTCTGAACATGGGACAGTCACAGTGATGTTACAGAGGGAGCTCCAGGATTCAGCGCATTCAGAACTAAAGCTGAGGGCGGTAGTTTTCCCAGAATCAGATTTAATCAACAGATTGTCTTCCGGGGATGAGGCTTATCCTACTTAAATCAGGAATGTCAGGGATTTGGGGGAGAGGGAGGGATACACCGGATCACAGTAACGCAGTGTTATTGCGATGCGATGGTGGCTGTTCAGCCCATCCTGTGGGTTATGACTCTCCGAGCATTTGATATTGTTTCGATAAGAGCTTTGTGAGAGCTTGACCACACCTGCTCAGTTGCTCCTATTGTTCCAACTCTTAAAAAAAACACTCAAGGCCTCACAAGCTGTTTATATTCTCACAGACTGCCACACACCTGTCGCCCAGTCTCTTTCTAAAAGAAACCACAGCATTGTCATACTGTAGCCTTCCCAATGAGACAAACATCTTCATAACCAAAATCTGAAAACAGACCACTTTCCGTTCATTAGATATCGCAAATGATTGAGAAATGAGTCAGGACAAACCACAAGAGATGACTTTGCAAACATCAATTTTATTTCATCGCTGAACAAGCAGAGCATAGCAAGGTGAGCAGATCAGGAATGGGGACAGCTGGAGGTTTCAGGAGGGGCCAAAGGGTCTCATTCCGCGTTGCAGCAGCCAAGCTATCATTTTTCCGGAGTTTTCCAAAGCAGCTTCAGGGATTTTAGCGAAAGACTGTCTCACACAGCTGAGGTTTTAAGGGGATTGGGGGTGGGGGGGGGGATGTTTGGAAGCAAGGGAGGGTATTAAAATCCCCCATCGCGCCGCCGCCCTCCCACCTCCTCTGGGGCTGTCAGTCTCACACCTCCTTGTCGGAAGTCAGCAAGGGGCGCAGGGAAGAGACTTTGTCGTTCCAGCCGATGGCACAGTAATTTGGCACTCTTTCCCCCTCCAGCGCGATCATGGATTTCCCCTGACAGTTCATGCCATCGTAAAGGATCCAGACTCCAGTCTTGACGATGTGAGATGAGATCAGATTATCAAAGTCCCCTGTCCTCAGGTTATCGATCCTCTGGTCCACGTTGCGCGATACCCCCTTGAAGTCAACGTGTTCATACACTTCGATGATGGGGTGACTCAGGTCTGTGTTGAGCAGCTTAAGGGAGCGGATCTTAAGGTCAAACGGCCCCAGTTTCACATGCTCTCCCTCCCCATATATCTTGCGCTCACCGGTGTAGTTCTCGCCAGTGTAAGCCACCCAGTGGTTCCCCTCCACCTTCAGGGAGCGAGCTACCCCACTGAAGAGCTTCACTCCAAGATCCGGGGTGTCACTGGAGAAGTCTTCCCTCTTCCCCGCACAGCCTTCATGATCAAACAGAATAATCTCACACATCGCTGCAGTGATCTACCGGAGAGTCTGGGAGCGAAGGTAACAGTTTCTGTGCCTGAGAGGAGCAGCCTTTATATCTGTGTCTGATCTCTGACAGCTCAAGGACTGTCACTAGGAGGTAGGATCTCAGTGTAATTTGCCTCCTCCTGCAATTGGAACGGTTCTCATTGCGGATTCTCAGAAACCTGCATCGCCGAGGAACAGGAAGTAACAGTGCTTTACACTGTGGTTATTGTCAAAGATTGTCCTGATCAGATCCATGACACAGGACTCTGTGCCCTACAGTCTGTTCCCCAGGACACAGACTGAGACAAACATCGACTGCGCCTGGAGGACCATCAATTCGGTGAAAGACTCTTTGGTCTGCCCGAAGCCTGTTGGTCTTCCAGAGCAGGGAGTTGACCCCAACTGAGTTTTGCAGACTGGCACATTCCCAGATCTAGGATTACCTGTTGAAGGAAGCACTAATTTAAAACCGAAAGAACTGCAGATGCTGTAAATCAGGAATAAAAACAAAGTTGCTCGTATTGCTCAGCAGGTCTGGCAGCACCAGTGAAGTAAAAAACACATTGGACCCTTCGCAGATGTTGCCAGACCTGCTGAGCTTTTCCAGCAACTTTGTTTTTGTTCGTGAAGGAAGCATTAATGTTTGGGGCAGCTGTAGCCCAGGTGCAGTGGGGAAAGATCACTGTCTGAGGTCTTTCTGCTGAAGATAAATGGGGGTCTGTTCAGTTTTTGGACCCTCCCCGTGTCTCAAACACATGTAAATGTAACAGATGCCTTTGTTTGATCTTACAAATTCCCAATGTTAGTTTGTTTCACATACAAAGATGATACAGGAATGTTGGAGCAAAAACTGCAGCCACTGGAATCTGTGCTGAAAACAACAAATGCTGGAGATCACAATGGGTCAGACAGCCTCCATGGAGAGAGTGCAAGTTAACGTTTCAAGTCTAGGTGACTTGTTTTCAGAGCTGAAGTGAAGTGTGGAGGGGGCAGCATTTATGCTACAGTTTGGGGGCAGTTGGTGAAGATAGTGGGTGTAGGGAGAAGGAGAGATAAAGTGTGTGTGTGGGGTAGAGTGAATGAGTGAGTATGTGTCTCCCACATATACACACACACTCTCTCTCACCCACAACCCCCACCCCACACACACACACACACACACACACACACACACAAACACACACTCTCTCTCAGTCTCGCTCTCTCTCTCACACACACACTCTATCTCTCTGTCTCTGTCTCTCTGTCTATCTCTCACCCCTGAAGATGAGATGTTGTTCCTCCAGTTCTCGCTGTGATTGACTGGAACACTGCAGTATGCTAAGGGCAGATACATGGACATGTGAGCATGATGCTGTGTGAAAATGACCAGCTACAGGAAGGTCGGGGTGACAGATTTGTGGAACAGCTCCGGTCTGTGTGCTAGCATGACCCGGACATTCCTGTGGCTGGTCATTTTCACACAGTGTCCTGCTCACATGTCCATGTATCTGTCCTCGGCATACTACAGTGTTCCAGTCAATCACGGCGAGAACTGGAGGAACAACATCTCATCATCAGACTGGGCACTTTACAGCTTTCCGGACTTAATATTGCATTCAACACCTTCAAACTGTGAACCATTTCTTCCCTTTCTTTTAGCTTCTCATCATGTCCTGTCTCTCCTCCCCCCCATCCCAGTGTCTGCCCTTTCCAGTCTGGCCGTTCTCACATTCTGATCAATTAATCTACATTGTGAACACCTTTTCTCCACCAGCTCCCTACACCCACTGCCCCCACCAACACTCCGCCCTAACTGTAGTATAAATGCTGCCCCCTCCACACTTCACTTCAGCTCTGATGAAGAATCATCTAGACTTGAAACGTTAGCTTGCTCTCTCTCCATGGATGCTATCTGACCTGCTGTGATCTCCAGCATTTGTTGTGTATGATACAGGAATGCTTCACTAACTGTGAATATATATAACAAATTGTTCTGATGTAAATATTGTCCTGTGTGCATGTGGAGGGAAGGGAAGAGAGAGAGTGTGTGTGTGTGTGTGTGTGTGTGAGAGAGAGAGAGACATACTCACTACACTCCCACTCTTCACATCCCTCACGCTCGCACACACACGCACATGCACACATACACATGTAAATCTATGGGGTAAAATTGTTTTTGCTGCTACATTCTATTTTGTTCAAAAAGCACACAATTTATAGACAGTCAGTCAATGTGGTGTTTTATAAATTCCTACTTCAGAAATAAAACCAGTCTGACTCCAAACCAAAACACAACCAGATTCTGAACAAGGCCTCACACCTAACATGCATTGTCTGACCTAAAATGTCACCTGATAAAAACCAAATAAACTGTAAATGCTGTAATACTGTATATCAGGTCAGTTCTGAGGAAGGGTCACCGGACCCGACACGTTAACTCTGATATTTCTTCACTGATGCTGCCAGACCTCCTGAGCTTTTTCAGCTACTTCTGTTTTTGTTCCTAAAATGTCACCTCTTCTTTACACTGATAAAACTTTCGTTCTCTCAGGACAGTGACTTAAAAGGAATTTGGGGATATACATGTATGTATTAATTAATTAAAACCTTCTAACTGATTAAAGATTTAACAGCGTCTTAGGTTTGTTTAATACATTCTCATCAGTCGTGTGACCATTTGATCTTTTACTTATAAATTCTGTGTCTGATACTACCTCTCTCACTAACACATGAAGAATGAACAAGGCTCTAAAAGCTTGTATTTTCAGTCAAACCTGTTGAACTATAACCTGTGTTGTGTGATTTCAGATCTTGTCCACCCCAGTACAACACCAGCCCCTCCACATCATTTCTCTCTGTCCCTATCTTTCATATTCTCTCTGTCTCTCTCTGTCCTTGTTTCTCACACTCTGTCTCTCTCTGTCCCTGGCTCTTACATTATCTCTCTCCCTCTCTGTTTCATTTCTCTGCACTCTGTCTCTCTCTCTCTCTGTCCCTATATCCCTCTCTCTGTCCCTATATCCCTCTCTCTGTCCCTATCTCTCACAATCTCTCTTCTCTCTCTCTGTCTCTCTCTCTGTGTCTCTATCTCTCACATTTTGTGTCTCTCTCTCTCTCCCTTTCTGTCTCTGTCTCTCTGACCCTATCTCTAACACACTCTCTCATCCTCTATCCCAATCTCTCATACTCTGTCTTTTTCCATCTCTCTGTCCCTATCTCTCTCTCTCTCTCTCTCTGTCCCTATCTCTCGGTCTGTTTCTACCTCTGCCTCTGTCTGTCCCTATCTCTCACACTCTCTCTCCATTTTCTTGTGTGTCACACTCCGTGTTTCCAATTTCCTGCTCTCACTGTCTCCCCCCTCACCCATCCCTCTCTCTCTCTCTCTGTCACACCTCTCCCTCTCTGCCACCCTCCCTCCCCCTCCCTCTGTCACCCTCTCCCTCCTCCTTCCCTCCCTCCCTCGGTCTCTCCATTTCTCCTTCCCTCCCCCTCTCACTCTCTGCTCTTCCCTCTCTCTCCCCCATCCTTTCCTCCCTCTCTCTCCACCTCTCCCTCTGTTGGAGGCTCTTCCTTTCTTATTAGAATAAAAGTCATCATAATTAAAAATTGAGGATTTTTATTAAGTTACATTTCTGGTTGCCGGGAATAAGCGTGTAACTGTGCTGATTCTAAGTTCAGCTTACAATTTCAAACATTAAGACACTGATATCTTATCTAATTACATTTTGTTTTCAAACTTTAGCAACACAATAAGTGAATTACAACATGACATTCTAACACTAAGTCACTTGAGTTGAACCTTTGCAACATCAGTTAGGTTTGTTTTGTGGTAGATTGTGTAAGTGCTTGGATAAGCTGCTCAACAATCTGTCATATAAAAACTGAAAGAACTGCGGATGCTGTAAATAGGAACAAAAACAGAAGTTGCTGGAAAAGCTCAGCAGGTCTGGCAGCGTCTGTTAAGGAGAAAACAGAGTTAACGTTTCGGGTCCAGTGACCCTTCCTCAGCACTGATGGTGGCTGGGAAAACGTCAGTTTATATGCAGCTTATACTCTGTTAGATAACCCTATCTGCAGCAGAAACAAATTTAACTGCTATACGATATGAACTCAATCACACTGTTTTCTTATATCCCCACACCCTCCCTGTCCCTCCCTCTGCAGAAATCTCCATATGTAAGCGGGAGTGTGGTTATATTTGAAGTTGGGAATGAGGTTATGAGCGAGAAGCTGATGTGTCAGGGAGCAGGAGGGGGACCTGGGTAATCTCTGACCCAGGAGGCAGACACCTCAGGCTCCCCCTCCCTAAACACTGTGCCCTGAGCCAGTCCAGTCACACTGCCTGAACACCACCCCCCCACCCCCAACAGGGTCATGGGGTAACTCAGTTTGGCCTTGGGGGGATTGAGGGTAATTCTCAGGAAAAGCAGTAAAGCTGCCTGACCCATCCCCACCCCCTCGTCTGCCCCACCAACTGGAAATCATTAGCCCCTATTTGCCCCATTCTCAGGTATTTGGAATCCAAGCAATGAGGGCCTCCTGGCTCAGAGGTACAGAAACTACCACATAACCACAGTCAATTGTTGTAAAAACCCATTGGTTCACACAGATGTCCTTCAGGGGAGAGATTTGCCCTCCTTACGTGGCCTGGTCTACACGTGACTCCAGGCCCACAGCAATGTGGTTCCCTGTGCACTGCCCCTTGGTAATCAGTGATGGGCAATAAATACTGGTCCAGCCAGTAATGGCCTCATCTTGTTGGGGTCTGACCTGAGACCTCCCAGTGCCCAGTGACCTCTCAGTGCCCAGTACCTGACCCAGTGCCCAGTACCTGACCCAGTGTCCAGTGATTGACCAGCTGACCTCCCAGTGCCTAGTACCTGACCCAGTGCCCAGTACCTGACCCAGTGCCCAGTGACTGACCCAGTGACCACTACCTGACCCAGTGCCCGGTGACTGTCCCAGTGCCCGGTGACTGTCCCAGTGCCCAGTGACTGACCCAGTGCCCAGTGATTGACCCGCTGACCTCCCAGTGCCCAGTGACTGACCCAATGTCCAGTGACTGACGCACTGACCTCTCAGTGCCCAGTACCTGATGCAGTGCCCAGTGACTGGCCCACTGACCTCCCAGTGCCCAGTACCTGACCCAGTGCCCACTAACCTCCCAGTGCCCAGTACCTGACCCACTGATCTCCCAGTGCCCAGTTCCTGATCCAGTGCACAGTGACTGGCCCTCTGATCTCCCAGTGCCGAGTACCTGACCCAGTGTCCAGTGACTGACCCACTGACCTCCCAGTGTCCAA